TCAGTCACGTTGCCCAAATAGCATAATGTAGTCAATGTCAGCATCTGGGTGTGCCTCTACACAACATAAACATTTGGAATAACTGTGGCGTGTTACCAGAAATGAGTTTCCAGTCTGAGGTGGTTGTTTACACATTGAGTTCTTATGATCACCCGAAGACTTCAGGAGCCTCTTCAGATATTTTGATTAAGAAATAAAGTGGTGCCGAAACCGGTTTGGCTCGGTGGATAGAGCATCGGCTTGCGGACTGAAAGGTCCCAGGTTCGATTCCGGTCAGGGGCATGTACCTTCGTTGCGGGCATATCCCCAGTAGGAGATGTGCAGGAGGCAGCTGATCGATGTTTCTCTCTCATCGATGTTTCTAACTTTCTATATCTCTCACTTCCTCTCTGTAAAAAATCAATAAAATATATTTTAAAAAATAAATAAAAAAAAGAAATAAAGTGGTAAGAGCAAGCACTCAGTGTTCTCCCTACTGAAAAATTAAATCATTATTTCATAGCATCCAAGTTTTCAGCATGACCTTAATAATATCAGAAAGTTGGCTTACTTGTATAATAAAATGAAGTGCATGCTAGGAACCGATCTCAGTAAACAGTCTACCAGCTCAAAGAAGAATCTCCAACCTCATCATCCCTTGTATTACAGTCCCCTCGGGACTTGACAAAGTTTCCCTCCCTGGGGCAGGGATTTCCTTGTTTTGGATCAGGCTCGTGGTGGGCACTGGGGTACATCCAAAAGGAAAACATGAACAGATAAAACCGCACACTTTCACTTGCACACCATTGCAGGCACCTGTGCTTAGAGAACTGATTGGAGTCTCGGTTTCATAGTTTGAAAAGCCATGTCTTTTCCAAAAAACATCTAATTACCATAAGAAGCTGGGGAACACCAAATGCATTCCAAAATGAATCTTCACTGATAGAGATGCAGTGTCATTCCTCAGACATCCCATGGAGTGGAACGCTCAGATACTGACACAGAGCTAGCTTCCTGGCTGTGGGGCCCGGCCTGTCACCCAGGACCTGGGCTTAGTATAATGCTCTGCCGTCACTGTCTCTGAATTATTCATACATTTTAACAAGGATTCCCGGATTTTCACTCTGCAGTGGGCCACATAAATTTCCTAGCCAGTTAGTTCGTAGATGTTATTGTTACAACACTGTATGTGTAACTGAATTTGAGACATTTTACCAGGGGTGGGCAAACTTTTTGACTCGAGGGCCACAATGGGTTCTTAAACTGGACCGGAGGGCCGGAACAAAAGCATGGATGGAGTGTTTGTGTGAACTAATATAAATTCAAAGTAAACATCATTACATAAAAGGGGGGTACGTAAGCTCTAACATAACTTGTGAATCCTTTAGGAATGATCAAAGTTGTCATAATATTTATGCTTCTATAAGGTTTTTATTAACCTCCTGTACTGTGCCTGGCGCTATGCCAGACTTATGGAAAGTAAACATGAAAACAACGTAGTCCCCGCCTTCAAAGAGTATTTATTCTAGTGTTAAGCACTTGTTTCTATATAGGCCTGGCTTTTAAAAATTGGGAATAGTTGCATAAAACTGGCTGCAAAAACTGAAAAGTGGATTCTTCCACATATGTGTGAGGCAAATGCGTAGTGCAGAGGAACTAAATGTTCCTGGAGAGGAATGTGTACATGGTCCTTTTTTTTCTCGCTAAATACACATGGTGTTTAGTTAGGATCATTTTTTCCTTGTTAAATACATATAGATGTAGCCATGCTGGTTCCTTAAATACTCAGCAGTTTCCCTTTAAAATTTTGGTTGAAGAGAATTGGGTTGCTTGTTTGATTTTTAAAACTTCCTCTAGGAAAAAAAAATCCATTTCATAAAAAGACAATTTCTGAAATACCATTTTATTTTAAATTTAATGCTGACTCCGTTTTTGTCTAGAGCAAGGAAAGCGTCCTCTTAGCAGGCTTAACCTGATGGCCGGGGAGCAGTTATCTGGGCAGATTTCCATGGCTGGGCCTGGTACTCAAGCTAACAGTGGTGAATGGGGAATGAGGGATTCCTCACCACCCATTTGCATGTTGTTATATCACTCCCACTATACATACCTTACTGGCACAGATTCTTAAAAATTATCTTCATAAATGTCATTCCCAACACCTGAATTGAATACTAGAAATGATGCGCCATATTGCCTGATGTGAATTCATCTAGAGCATAGACTTAAATATGCTGTATGCATATTATGAGAAATATTACTAAGCTAATATGCTATAGTTAGTTAAGGTATCTTTCTAGATCAAATTTAAGACATGAGATTCCTACATAGCTAGAATTATATGCAAAAGAAACACTGGATTTACCACATGATGAAAACATTTCAAATGATAGAAATAATTCCTATTATAATTTGCATCTTAAATGTCATTAAACATATTGAAAAATCAACACTTTATAAAGCCTCAAACCAAGACATAGAATTATTTTTCTTTATTTGTAGTAATCCTCTTGTCTTAAAACCCCAAATTAAGAAAATACAAAGTTATTTTGTCCACATATTTTTTTAAAGTACATTATTGAATAATTACTTTTTTCCCCCTGAACTTAACAGTGTTCCTTCTGACTTGAAGATATGTGTGACTTCCTCAGCTTCCCTTAGACCTCACAGCAGTGTACAATAAATAATCAGAAAAGAGAAATACATGCTTTGGCAAGGCAGGGTAATCAATGTTTAGTGCCTCTCTATCTTTCTGTAGAATGTAAATGTATAAGTACTTTTGTTACATTATTGAATAAGGTAAGGAAATATATAGCCTTCAGTTGTCTTGTAATCATCATTCCTTCTAAAGGAACAAGTCTCACCTTCTAAATCAATGACTTGGGCGGCTTTTTATATTTTGCATACCTAAATAAATATATTGTTATGAAAGACATATGCAAGTTCTTGTGTGTATGAATATACACCAATAGTAAAAATAAATCTAATTGACCCTCTGCCTTCATGAACAATACTTAAAAACAATAGCTAACATTTTACAGCGTTCGGGTCTGATATTTTATGAAGCTTTATTGATTATCGGCAGCCTGTCATTACATATAACAGGCAGTGCTTCAAAAGAAAAAATTGAACAATGCCTTCAAGACATCAGCTCCGTGCTGATGGATCTAATACCTCAATTCCCCATTCCTTTGCCTTTCTGAACTATTGTTTATTTAAGCAGTTTTGAGTGTTCTTGCATATTGACCAAAGGAGCTGAAATTGACAGAGGCGGAGTTATCCTGTGGCACCCTGACAGTTTGGATCCTGTTGTTTAACAATAGAAAAACCAGAGTGATGCTCTGCCTAAAGAAAGAAAATTTAAAAAAAAAAAAAAGTGAGAAAGGAAGCTAGCCACAGGAAACGTCATTTACATCCAGTGTCAGGAATTTAAAATGGTAGAGCAGCTTTGAAAGCTAGTTTTGTCTGGGATGCAAGTAAAGCCAATTTTTACTGCAAAACAAATAGGCAAAGACCGGGTGCATTCCTGATTGACAGCTATCCCATGACCTACATGAAAAGTCCCCGGCCAGGGTCCTTAGTGGACAAACATCCACATAGTCCATGGCTGTCTGCCAAAACAGGTCAGCAACTGAGTGACTGATGAAATGAGTTGCAAAGTAGCATCTGAGCAATCAGTCTTCAACTGATTGCTATCTATATATACTTTATAGAACTTGTAAAAACTTTCAATTGTGACCTCAGAGTTTTAAATTTACATATTAGCCTGGGGTGCTTAATCGACATAGAGAATTAATAATAATTGTAGTCTCCTCTGCCCCTCATAGGAAGAGAATTATCAGGCTTAACTTATTTACAGTGTATGGGAAGACTTTTCTTAAAAAATACATTTTTATTGATTTTAGAGAGAGAGTAAGAGGGAGAGAGAGAGAGAGAAACATCGATGGAAAACATCAGTTGCTGCCTACTGCAGTCCCCTATTGGGGACAAGCCCACAACCCAGGCATGTGTTCTGATCAGGAATCAAACCAATGACCTCTTGGTGCAAGGGATGACGCTCAATCCACTGAGCCACACTGGCCGGGCTGGAAAACTATTTTTTTTATTTCACTTTGATGAAATGTAAGGATATTTTTAAAGGCACTTTTATTAAAATTTGGAATTATGCATAACCCAAATTAAAAGAAAATATACCTTAAAATGTGCAAATATCTCAAGGGTTTTTAGGGGTTTTTTTATTCATCAATGTTAGAAGAGCAGGTGACAGCAATATACTTAAACATTTTCAGTGATGTAAAAATGAGACTATTCTTCTTCATAATAATATTTAGTAATATAATGAAAATAGGTTTGACTTCTCATATAACACATCTGACATTTGAGGTGTAGTTTCAAAATAAGATCAAACAGAATTGCTAGATTCTAGGCTCCATTGTGGCTCTCCTGTTGTCTGAATTGAAGTTATCATCTATATTTCTAGTACTTAGCATAATTCTGAACTCAATAAATATTTGCGGTTGAATGGATGAATATTTTATGTGGTGCACTTTTAAAAATAAGGGTGGATTTGATCCTTAATTCATGTTTCTAATATTCCTTCTCAGTTCCTTGCAAAGATTTACCTGTGAACCTTGTATTTTTCAAAAGAATTTTTCAAAATTTGCTTTTACTTTAATCAACTCTCAAGGGTAACACTGTACAGTGGGATGTGTAGTACTATATCTGGAAATCCCAGTTTTAGAGGAAGACAAGCCCGGGTCCTGATGTCACTTCCGCTATTTTCTACCTGTGTGCCAGGGTAAGATATTTATTCTCCCTGATGTTGAGTTCTGCCCTGCACAAAAATGAGAATAATCTAAATCTTTAACTGAGCAACCAGTCAATAGACCTAGCGTACCGCCTAGTGCACAGCAGTCATTCACATTGCTTCCTTAGATTACAAGACATTATTTTTAAATGAGTAGCAAGTAAAATGCAGGTGTTTACTATGTTTGAACATTTTCCACTTTCTTCTCTTTTACCAGATGACGACTTTTTTCATGAATTGCCAGAAACTTTTCCATCTGACCCACCTGAACCTTTGCCACATTTCCTGATTGAGCCTGAAGAAGCTTATATTGTGAAGAATAAGCCTGTGAACCTGTATTGTAAAGCCAGCCCTGCCACCCAGATCTACTTCAAGTGCAATAGTGAGTGGGTTCATCAGAAGGACCACATAGTAGATGAGAGAGTGGATGAAACCTCTGGTAAGTTCTCCATTGCATTTGGACTACGACTTAGGATCCACTTACTACTTTAGCATGTCGTCATATTGTCCTTTCAATTAGTCAAACTGAAAATTGAGTTATTATTCTGTGGCCAAAAGTTTGAATCAGTTTGGTTAGTATTTGGTGATCTCCTTTCATGCGTTGCAAAGTAAAATGTGATAAATAAATCTTGACTTGATTCCTGTTGGATTCCATGGAACTAAAACATGGTTCATGCTAAGATAAATAATGAGAATTAATAGACTGAAGAAATGGTAAATGCTGTAGTGAAAGATGCTGTTGGATTTCACTTCTGTATCAAGACTGGTGTCAGGTCTAAATAGCCTGTGATTGGGGAACATACTCAACTCAGGATAAATTGGACTTGTTTACATGACTCTCCAATGTTAATTCACGTGGATAATTTCTCCTTATACTTTTTCAAACAATCTAAAATGTTATAGATTCAAAGTATCCTGTATTCTTAACTTACATCTTAAAAAATGAACCCTAATTACTTAGCTCAGCTAAAGGTAAACTGAGGGTGATTGGGAATAGTGATAGTGTGGGGTCCGTGCAGAAGAGAAATGGTGAGTGCAGTCACCATCTATCAAGATGCAACTTGACCAGAGTATCTTTGCTCCTGGCATGGTTCAAACTCCTGATTGTATTGTGCTGTGAATATTCTTAACAGTAATAATAAAAGCGTAGAGAGGACGAAGTTGATTTTAATAACCTGTGAAATTTAGCTTGGCTATAAAGGAAACTTTCTTGATAGCAATTATTTACTCCACAGTGGGTAACTTAAGAGAGTTCTGGAATCTCCTAAAGTTATTTTAAATTGGAAAGATAAATGTCTTTCCACAGTGGGTTAAGTGTTTTTGCTCTCCAGCAGGGAGAATAACAATGTGAACTTTCAGATCACTTCCAGATCTGTGACTTTATAAGATGAAGACATATATTTTAAATATTAAGACTTCGCTGATCCATATTCTTAAGCTAAATAGTGCCATATATGACAAAAGTGGAAGCATTGAAATATCTTCATTTTCATTCTTAAATATGGATACTTTTTGAAAATATTAATTAATTATATTTGTATCCAACTGTGGGATTAACCAAGGACAAGCAAAGGCCAGCACTTGAGTGGGGTCTGCTTTTAATATCTCTTAAAACATAAAGAGCATATTGAGGTGGTGGGACATAAAGAAACAGCATACTGTGAACTGGCTGAGAAGAGGCATCTTTCTAAAACACACGTGAGGCATATATTTCTATAACACAAGTGGTCTGAGAAAGATCAGGTGGCAGCTCTACCCAATTGTTTGTCAGTTTGCGAATCGATATGCTCACTGCATGAGAGCTGATGACTGCAGAAATGACTGGGTAGCCAACTGCAGGGTAGCTGACTTTAGGGAATTGTCCCACCTCTTGGTCTAATTACTCAGAAAATAACTTCACCAGATGTCTTCAAAATCTCAAGTGAATTGAATTTTATTTGTTTTAGCTCATTTATTTGTAAAGATTTCAAGCACAGAAGTTTTAATGGTAAGAAGAAAAGAAGGAAATCATAAAAGTTAAAATGAGAGTCACAAACATATTTAGGCTTCTCTTTACCAAAGTAATGAAAATGCCTACGTAGGAATATTAGAAATAAAAACAAAAATGCTCTGACATTGGGAATGTCTGACAAGAGAATACTCAAACAACGAAGGCATTTTACAATGCAATAAAGATGATTTTTCAAATCACAAGGTAGGCAGGTGGAAAAGTAAAAAAGGAGGTCACAGTTTAATTCCCGGTCAGGACACATGCCCGGGTTGCTGGCTTAAAACCCAGAGTAGGGAGTTCAGGAGGCAGCCAATCAATGATTCTCTCTCATCACTGATGTTTCTATCTCTCTCTCCCTCTCCCTTCCTTTCTGAAATCAATAAAAAATATATTTAAAATAAAATAAATTATAGATTTTAGGGCTTTAATGTCATCATCATCATCACCACCATCATCACTAGGAGACAAATTAAATTGGTTGGTTAGTTGGTTGGTTGGTTGGTTGGTTTCATTGGTGGACAAAGCCTTCTTAATGAAGACAACATGGAGAAGTCTTATAATAAAGCACTAGAGGCCTGATGCACGAAAATATGTGCAAGAGTAGGCGTTCCTTCCCCCAGGTGCCAGCACCAGGTTCTCTCCTCCAGCCACCAGCAGGCACCTGGGACCCGGGCTTCCCTCCTCTGGCTGCCCACAGGCACCTGGGACCCGGGCTGGCTGCCCTCTGGCCCTGGCTTCATCAGGAAGGATGTCCAGATTGACATCTGGAAGATGTCTGGTCTAATTAGCATATTACCCTTTTATTATTATAGATTATTGATTTGAACATCCAAAGAAAACCAAGGTACAGACCCTCACTCTGAAAAAACACACACACACAAAAAAAACACTAAAACAAACATACAAAAAACACCTGGTTATATCTGTGAACATACAAGTATATAAATCAAAGGGCTAATTTAATTAATATATAACTATGTCTCTTTTTTTTTATTGAATTTACTAGAGGTCCAATGCACGGAATTTGTGCACTGGCAGGGTCCCTAATGGCTGCCGGCTGCCGAACGGGCACTCCCTCCCTTCCCCTGGTTGGTTCCACCCCGTCAAACTCCCAGAAGAACTCCAGTCAAGGGGACAATTTGCATACTATGCTTTCATTATGTAGGGTTGAGGTGATATTGGTTAATAAAATTATATTCTACTAGGTTACAGGTGTACAATTCTACAATACATCATCTGTATATTGTACTATGTGTTCACCACCCCAAGTCAAGTCTCCTTCTGTCCCCATTTATCCTCCCTTTACCCTCTTCTACCTCCCCCTCTCTGGTATTAGCCATACTGTTATTTATGTGTGGGGTTTTGTCTGTTTGTTTTGCTTAATCCCTTTACCTTTTCCACCCAGCCCTTCAATACTCCTCCCTCTCTTAAAGATATTTAATCAAAAGATCAGCAACCCATTAGAAAATTCAGCAGAGTTTGAACATGGAGATATAGGAAAAAAGGCAAACGATTAAAAGGCATCTAAGGAGATGCTGTCCAGATCAAAACAGGCATTAGTATACAGGGCTGAAAAAGGAGTGGATAGAGAATATCTCATACTTTGTTGATGAGATTGGCACAATCTTTTTGAAGGACAGTTTGCAAATAACTATCAATACTAAAATGTACGTACCCTTTCTTCACTAATTACAAATTTAGACAGTCTAAAGGTAAAAGTCTAAATGAGCACAAAGATTACATGCGAGGTTGTCCATTGTACCCTTGTTACAGTAGCCTATCAACAGCTGTTTGTTCATTCCTAGGCTGGAATACTATGATGCTTTTTAAAGCAATGAGGTTTCTCCACATATAAAGCTATAGCAAAATCTCTCAGATGACATTTTAAGTGAAAATTGAAGTATGGAACTGTATATAATATTTTCTTATTATGTAGAAAGAGGATACACATATATTTGTCTATGCATTGGGATTTTCTAGAGAATTATAACAAGTAGTTGGAAGCTCAGAATCTGGGGTGATAAGAGATTTCTTTTATTCTTTTTTCCCTCCAATTCTGTGAATGTGTTATTTTCATAATAAATAATGAAACCTGGGGGAGAAGGGGTAAGCTCAAAGCACTTTATTGCATCTTTTTGCCTGCTATTATACGTCTCCAATCTCTACAGTATTGGGGGAAATGCGTAGGTCTCTAATAGTTAAAGCTCTTTGCTTTCCTGTGAAATCAGAAATATTATGACTGGTATTGAAATTGAACTGCTTGGTTTTGTTGGTGTTATTTTTAATCTCTGAAGCTGGATACACTCGAAAATTTGGTCCTCAAATCTCCACTTAAAATAGTCTGTTATAGTTTTGTTGGGATCTTAATGGTTCCTAATCACAAGACATGTTAGAATACATTAAATCTTGAAATATATTACAAATTGGAGAAATCTTTTTGGTATTTAAAAATTAAAATTGGTTCTCAGATGACAGGACGGAGAGAAGTCATTGCAAACCAATTAATCTTTATAAATACCTTCATTTTAGAATAATGATATTGGAAGCATGTTTAGTGGCAATCAGATACATTGCCTTGCAGCTGAAAATAATCAACTGCATTCAAATATATTCTCATCAAAGGTAACTTCACATTGAAAAACTAAAGAACAATAAGCTGAAGAAAATAATGACAGTTCTTCTCTAACTCAAAAAATGTTTCCTTTTAAATATGGAATATTAAATAGACTCACTTGCTCTGAAGTATGAAGCAAACAATTATTTTACTCACTGAGCAAAGTTATACCACAGATCATAAAATGTACTGATTCAAGTTCATTCATTACTGGAATTGTTTGCCTTTCCATCACTTAAACCACATTTGCATTTCTTGCAAATATGTAATATTAGAAACAGAAAAGTGGAAAGCAGATCAGATGGTTTAGAATTTTCAATATTCAGAAGCTCTTGATTTGGTAATCTATATATATAAAGAGCCAGAGGCCATCACAACCAAGTGGATGACCTAACGGACGACCGAAAAGGCTGAGTCGGGTAACGAGGCCGGCAGGGGGGTTAGTGAGGGATGACCAAATAACTGAGCAGCAGGCTGTGTGGGCTGACCAGGCCGGCAGAGGGGTTAGTGAGGGACGACAAAACAACTGAACAGCAGACTGCGTGGGGCGACCAAGCCAGCAGGGGGGTTAGTGAGGGATGACCAAAAGACAGAACAAGCAGGCTGTGTGGGGTGACCAGACAAGGGCGACCAAGCCAGTGGGGGGCCGTTGGGGGTGACCAGTCCTGCAGGGGGGCAGTTGGGGGTGACCAGGCTGGCGGAGCAGAGGGAGGCAGTGAGGGGCAACCAGGCCAGCAGAAAGGGGCCATGAGGGGCGATCAAGCTGACACGGGGCGGGGGGCAGTTGGGGGTGACCAGGCCAG